AACCACCAATTATTGGATCTCTGATCCCCAAAACTCAGAGGGTCTGCCCCAATGACGGGACCTATTCCAAGCAGAGCTGCCCCACGTCCTCCAAGCAAAGGTTGCACGGTCGTAGCCAGCCCCGGACGCCCGGAGGCTTCATTGACTGAGTCGAGTTCGAGGCCCGGCTCCGCCCCGAGTTCGACATCAAAAGACCATCACTAAGCCCTGACGTTTCCTGCAGTAGAGCGATATGGAGCGTGAAGTTTTCGTCTTTTCATAGCATGTTCATCCTGCAGTGTTTCTACATACATGGCTGCTTTTGGGAGTCTGTGTTAGTCTTTTTCGGCGGGTAACACCAGGATCGTGGATTGAGAGTAGCTGAATGGCGGGGAAGAAACACAAAAGACCACTGGTGCGACTGGTGGTTGAGAAGCAGCATTCTCTCGTATGACTCATATTGTCATCATTTGTCATCCAACATGGTTGCACTGCGTAGACTTGCGCAATTGACTCTCTGTAGAATCGCACTCTAATTCGTGTAATCGTTCAAGAATCCTTCTGGTGGGATCCTTTGTTTGGAAGCAGCGAGCCGCTCCGAGAGGTTTCGCGCCGCCTCTTCCAGCGAGTAGGCCCTGGGGAACTGCAGCACAATACTCCGCGAAAAGACCTGTTTCCGCCGGAACGGCGGCGGGCCGCGGGGCCGCTCCGCGCATGAGATCGGCGGGTCACTGTCGCCTAGGGGTCACTGGCGCCTACACCGCCGCTGATGGGTCTGAAGCGCTTGGGACACCCATTGGACGCGCTTGGTAGCATTGAATCATACTGCTAGCAATCTTTGTTTCCAGCATCACAACTAATTATTGTAAGATGTGATTCTGGAGATCGAGTTGAGTATGTATATATATATGTATATATATTCATGCCGATAGAGGTAATCTGTGCATTGGGTGTGGGGCTACATCATGTAGCCCCCCCAAATCACCACAGCCATGCAGAACTTTCTTCTCACCAGTTTACCTTATGTTTACCTCAAGAGCTAGTCTTTGCCCAAACTCTTCCATATTCTTACCTCAAAACCCTCTTGCTTCTCCACTCCTTCCAGCAAAGCCCACCCCCTTCGCCTTTAGGAGGTTGATGGCCCTCTTCTGCAAAGGTCCAGTTTGAATAAAGCCTCCCACGTGCGAGTGTTCGCCGCGGCGAACTCGTGTTGCGCCGGTGAGTTTTCAACCGCACCCCCAAGATGTCCTAAATACTCGCCTAAATAAGACTAAATATATCGAAAGATATCCAAAAACTATTTTTTACCACCATGTCTTTAAAGAATTCCTGTTCGATCCTTTTCGGGTCATCTAAACACAATTGATTGACTAGTCTTGGACTCCCGGGGTACAGTGTTCGCGCAGTCAAACAGGGGCTCCCTCCAGTCATGTTCTCTGCCTTGTCATCTCCCTAGAAGTCAATGAACCGTAGCGCTTCCGCCTCGAAGCTCTTATTCCCGTAAGGGTATCTTGTTACATCAACAAATAGCTAGACTTAGGGTGGCCTTCTCCTGGATGCCCTGGGCGAAAACGATGCGAATGCAAAATGGCATGGATACTGACCGCGTTCACATCATCAGTGAATCAGTCTCTTCTCGAAGAATTGTAGGTTGTTGTAGGTCCCATCCATTGACCAACACTGACTTGTATATAATTGTATACATAAGTGTCTTTCTCCTGGCCTAAGTTCCAAGGGTTGGGCCCAATGACATTGAAGAGTGAGCTGTGCTCTTGTGGATCTTCTCGAAAGTCCTGAGCAAGGCCGAAATCGAAGCGATGGATTCGCTCGCCACGTGCATGAAACATGCGTGCGGGTATCCCAAAAGAAGAAAGTTCATGACATGAGATCTGACTCGGTGTACTTCATGACAAAGTATACCTCAAAATCCTCAAATGGATGTCGAAAATGCATCCCAAGCTTCTTTTGGAATCCACCGTTTCGATCTATATACATCGATCTACAGCACTTGTGATCCCCAAAACTCATTGGAACAAATGGTACTGTTCATTCGGGTTTTCTCTCCAAAGACGTCTGATACACTCACCATGCCATGTCCCATGTTCAGTGCCGTATCTTGGAACGATCACCATCCGAATCCATGGTTGGAAACTCACTCAGTGACTATCTACCTGAAATTCACCTTCTCCATGTGCATCATGCTTTTTGAAGCTATGGCTATACTCATCAAGTGGATCTGTGTGGACTATCTGGCAGGCGCTTCTGGCCGCTTCTGGTTGGGACCCTTTGAGGAATCGATTGACAGCTGAGACCCCACCCAAATCGGCACCTGTTCCGAGACTCATGCATCAAATCTTCAAATTGCTTCACCAGCTCCGAGATATCCATCGGCACCCGCTTGCTGGTGGAGGGTGTCTTGCTGGTGGAGTCGTCCAGATTATCGGACCTCGGTCGGTGGGGACGTGGGGACGTCGAGCCGGAAGTCGAACGCAACAACCAGGCGGTTCAGGTGTGTTATATACCTAGCCTAGACCATCCAAAGGGTGTCCAATAGAGATCTCTAGGTAGTGCAGGGTAGTCTATCGGACACCCCTTGGATGGTCCTGGTACAAACCATCTTTACTGGCACCCATTTTTAATGGCACCCAGGACCGCCACCTTCTGTTGCGGAACGCCCACACAACTACGTAGACGCCCAGGAAACAAATTGCACCCCATAACACAAACATATGGTTTGATGAAGTTTAGTGGCAACCCCCACCCCTATATACAATAAAATATCCCTGGGATATCCAGGGCTGACCAAAGACTCGGATTGGCACCCCTTCGCACCGCCAAGCTCGCTCTTCCGGGGCGCGCATCACTCACATTCAGCATCCGCTGAGGCAAGTAGGGTGTCGATTTGGCGACGGGTATCACCTGCGGTGCACGCGCGCGCGGCCGATAGTCTATATCGCAACACTTGGACATGGCCCGTGTTGGAGATTTGAGCTGTTGGAGATGTTTTTCTGCAAGACCACAGGTGACAGATTGACCAAAGCCGTAAAAAGAACCAGACGTTGGGTCCCGCGCCACGACGCGACCGTCGCCGACTGGCCTTTCCTACATACATCGATGCTGCTGCCGATGCCAGGTGGGCAAGGTCCTTGACAGGTCTAGCAGCACCCCGGTTCAAGTGGTTCATCCTATCCCCCCTTCACATCCCTTCAGCACCCGGATCCGCTGAAGTCTTCCATCCCGTCTCATCTGAAATGGGTGGTGCTGGGAGATGTCCAATTTGCCCCAAAGTGGTCTGTTCGTCCTATGCCGCTGCTGTCGCCTCAGCTCGCAGCTCGCTCGCGCCTCGCTCCCGGACCCATCGCTTCTTCGAAAAAGGCGCTCTTCCGCCCCGCTTCCAGGATCCCTTCCAACTTCCAGGATCCCTCCAAGCATTGAACATGATCTCCAACTTCCAGGATCCCCCCCAACCCCACGCCTCTCGGCACCCGATCCTCGGCCCGAAGACCCACCGAGCGGCACCACCACTGCGCGCCCTGCGCGAGTCCGGTAACTCAGAGCCTCGGAGACGCTCCTGGGCGAGACTTCTTGCGAGCGCCGTTGGTCCGGCTCCGTTCTTTTGAGGGGGACCGTTCCCCAAAAGGAAAGGCCCTATTATTAAAGAGGCATGTGAGAGGGGCGTCCCTCTTTCAGAGCAAACAATACTCCGGAGTCATATTGTATTTAGTTCGTAATTGATTAATGTTGGCTCCATGTTCGTTTGCGGGTTGTTTTGCGGGGTAAACCATGCAGTTTTAGGCTTGGTTGCTCCATATTGCTTCGCTTTTAGCATCTTTTAGCAGGGTTGCATATTGTTGTTAGCCATGGTCTTTCAAAAGGCTGTCAGTCCTCCAGTTCACCACTCGTCCTTGTGGGTCATGACTGCGTTGGACTGCGTTTGAATTACTGGCTCCAGGCCATCCCCTCAACACCGGGAGGTGTCCCTTCCACGAGCTTCCGTTTTGGCACGTGGTTGAATGTGTTGAAGCCCTCTTGGGGCTGCCTGGGGCCAAGCCGTCTTCACTTGTTGAAGTGGATGTCCTCGAAAGTCTCTAGCAGCAACCAACGTACGGGCTCACGGGCAGTAGCAACGCATCTTCCGTCGTCCCGAATACCACAGCCAATTGACAGAATGGACTGCCTTAGTTGGAGCCTGGGGATCTCAACCAATCACGGAGTTCCATGTAAGAGTCAGAGCCTATTATCCACCCCGCACCCCACACTGGAACTGGAACCCCTGGTTAGGTCAACCCACCATCCACCCTCCCATCCACCGTCCGGACCTATATCCACCTCTCACCTCAGTTCGTTGCGGGCTGAGACGGGGCGTCTCAGACTGCGCCACCAAGCTACATCGAAAGACTGCGATTGGCAGGCACGCTCCGGGCTAGCCATGGCGACGAAAAAATGCGAGAAGGCAAAGTTCGAAGGATTTGTGGAGGAGTTGCGGAGGACTTCGAGAGGTTGGGAAAGTTCTGATGAGCACCTCGGTTCAGCTCCAGCGTCTGAAGCGGACTGTTTTTCCTCCGAGGATTGGTGACTAATCTCACTGCAGCCACTGCATTCATCTGCATTCAATCTAGCTTACTTATTCTTTGTCTTGATTTCTACTTTGTCTTTGTCCATGCTTTCATCAACCAGCCTTTCAAGGCCCGGGCCGGCCGCCACGAATACGGATCGATGCTCATCTGTCTCACCGTTTAAAAACCATCCAAAGGGATGGAAGGGTTCATGCCGCCCTGCGCCCTCACACATGCACCCCTTCCAATCAACTTTGCATCGAAAAAGCCACAGCTTTGTGGAGGACAAGGTCGTCAAATCTCAAATCAGTGAGAACTCATGAGAATGAACTTAGTAGGGATCTTGATCAACAAAGAGGGTCGAAAGGGTTTTTCATGGTTTTTCCAACTGAATCGGTCAACGTGATGTTTTGGCAGGTTCTGGTTGAGCTATGGATGGCCAAAAATGAAAATCCACGTCGACACTGCCTGGCAGACTCGGTGCTCCCCTCGACTCGCCCTTTTTGGGTGGCGCTGGACGTGAACGGATCACGCTTCACATTGAGCCAGGCCAAAGGTGAAGAGGAGGTGGAGACCTCTCCTGAAGTGATGGATCTCCGATGGGGGGGTGCCACTCCAGTTCTTCTGTTCCCACCAAAAAAATGCCGCATCCCTCCCCCACCTGATTGGTCCAACGGAGTTGTCTCGAAGACATGGGACAAGTCCAAATTGAAACCACCCATTATATCACATGGTGTTATATTGTGCCAGCGTATGCCTATGTTTTATTATCATGTGTTTATGGTTGGAGGTCACGACCAACACATTCACATTTAGCTCCGTTTTCTTGTTGTCTTGCGTGCCTGGCAGCTGACGTGTATGGACATGTATGGAACCCAGGGCCCTAAATTCAGTTTTGATTTGTCCTGCCATTTGGTTTGGTTCCACCGAACTTCCACTACGTAGGAGTTCAGTCTTGCCTAGTCTCTGCAAGAAGCCTGACTTCCAAGATGGCCCAGACCACACAGCACGTAGATCTTCCCGCCAAAAAAACCTGCGGGGCAGTTCTGATCCGTCATTCAGGTGCAACAACACATGGAACATGGAAACATCATGATAGATATGTATATAACTTGGAAGCAACTCTATACAGTAGGCTTCGTTGTCGATTAGAATTCCTTTCACCATCTTTCACCTTTCCAAAATGTTGCTCAATCAATCGGGGTGGCTTGACAAGGTCAAGCCTGTGAGAAATCAAGTCTCAGCTCGAAACACCCAAAGAACACGCCCAAGTAGTCTGGATCGAGTATGACTTATGACACCAATGCCAAGTAGTCTGTTGAAGTGCTCCATCCTTCCCCACCCGCCGCACCGCCCGGTTCGCCGCATAGCGGATGCTCGCCACCGGCGCGGCAACGGGTCCGCGCTCCGCGGCGTCCGTGGCGTTGAAGAGTTGCAGGGCGTCCGCGGCGGAGCCGTGCAACGCCGAGCTGGGCACCAGCCACAGCAGCAGATTCACCGCGCCTCGGAGGGGGTTGCTGTCACCTCTCGGAGGTGTGGTTCGGAGGTGTCTTAGGAGTCCGGGGGTAAGATGGAATCGGTGGAGCGTTGTCGGGAGACGAGGAAAAGGAATGGGGCGGTGAGGGGGTTTTGGCCTTGACATGCCCCGGACTTCTCCATGCTTGACTGCGGGTCCAAGAAGAGGGCTCAACTACCTTGATTATCCTTGATTGGGTCACGCATGGTGATCAAAATGCCGCTCACCCCTGTTGAGACGTGCATATATCACTATGCATATATCACTATATGCATAATGCAGAGCTGCATACCACACATAAATAGACCTGGACCATCCAAGGGGTGCCCAATGGAAGCCTATAGGTATAGTGTGGGGTAGCCCATTGGACACCCCGACAGGATGGTCCTGGAATATACATCTCATTTGGACCACTTAGCATCCCAACTGTGGAACTGGGCCTCCAGGTTCCAGCTCCGGCCCGTCCGCAGGCGGGCGTGGGAGTGCTGAATTGTCCGCCTTCCAGACGCGCAGCCCCTGCAGCGGCAGATGCGTTGGTAGTAGCCCAGGCAGCGCCTGTCCTCGGTGAGGCACTGCTGCTGCAGAGGTGGTAGGGAAGCATCAAGTCGTCCAGGAAAGGGAGACATGAGATATCATGAGATGGTTCTATTCCCTTCTGGGCAAAAGATGGCAAAAGTGTAGGGCCAACAGAAGGAATGTTGATGTTGAACCTTGAAGCATCTGCCTAGGGCCTGGGCCTAGTAGTAGCAATTGGAACAGTCCTGATGAAAAAATCTGCAACTGTCTGTAAATCCTTGGCGCTCTTCACCCAAACGATCCCAAACATGGCTCCTCTGCGTCCCACCCTCTTTGGGCCTTGGGAAAGGGCCCCCCTTGCCATTCCTGAAGAGGGTCCTACAAGTAATGACCCTCGTAGGTGAATGAACTTCCCCGATGAACGCTAAAACCATCTGCCGGGAGCTCCCCCAGCACAAGAAGACTTTGGGAGACATATGCAGCATCCGTCTGTCTACCATTGTCTATATATCTTTCTTACGTTGCTTCTTTCTTTGCTATCTTCTGGCCCCATTTGGACCTCACTTCCACCCAACAAATTGACTCTCGACCCGAGTGTCTCAAGCCATCGACGACTTGTGCCAAAATGGGCGAGGCTAAGCCATCCTCGAGCAGCGCTAACAAATGAGCACCCTTCCGCGGGTAGAAGTAGAACGTGGAAGCCTTGATGCTGCAAGACTGTCTTTTTGCTCTGCTCCGTGCAAAGGAGAGTTGACAAGCAGTGCCATAAACGGTTGAAGTTGGCATCTCCTACAGTCTTACAGTTTCCAAACGAGAGGAGCTCTCTCTCCAAACCGCTGGGTCTTCCGTTTACGCTGAAAGGAGCCTCTGGTCTTCAGGCTGTCAGGAGTGGATGTTCCACCGCAAAATCCACCATGCCAGGCTTGGATGCCAGGCTTGCTCAAAGATACACCCAAACTCCAAGTCCTCCAACTACTAGCGATGCTAGGATGCCATACCTGCTTCCAACACCCTCCCAAACTTTTCATGTTGGACCAAATCGGAGGTGACTTGTGGTAGGAGATTGGTAGTCCGCAGGCCACTGGGATTTTCAGCGCATCTGCAAAGCTCGCCGGCCTGCAGGAAGCGCTTCAGCTGCCGCAAGGTCTTGTCTGTTAAGAACTTGTCGCTCACTGCACGACCGGTCGCCACAAAGCTGTCCTGCTTTGTGGAAGGAAAGTGGAGATCCTTCCTTGGCCAAGGTGGAAAGGAAACCCCAGGGACGAACCAAGGAGACCCAGGAGACCCAGGAAACGAGGCAAGAGATCTCACACCAAGAGATCGAACTTTCCGACTGACCCAGAGGACAAAGGGAAAGCATCAGTGATACCATGTTATACACACATGCCCCCCCCTTTAAGCTAGATGTACAATGATGTACACCATCTCCATCCGGTGGCCTCGGATTCCAAAGCCTCATCTTTCTCAATGTTCTCTCCTCCAGGCCCTTCAGCGCAGCAGGCTTGGCACGGAGGGTCCTTGCAGGCAACTCGTGGCCTGCAGGATCCCAGTAAACGGCCTTGTTGTTCGCTTTCTGCCAAAGCTTTCGATCAGCTGTGTCCTCCAAACCCCCCGAGAGCGACGCGAGAAGCGTCGAGCGACGCGAGAAGAACGTCGTGGACCGGCACTGGAACGACCCCGGCACCGTCTCAGACGCGTGGAGTTTTGACCCCTCGTGACACCCAATGGGCACCTGAGAGTCTGACAAGTTCCCTGGCTCCCCTCCTCTTGGAACGCCAACTCGAAGACCTTGTCAGGGTCCTCATGCTGCTTCTTGGCCGAATGGAACACACCTGTCACAGAGGTCGAGGAGGGCTAGTAGGCTAGGCACGGCGCTAACATCCCCGTCCGTCGCTCCCCAAAGCTACCCCCCCATGTTGGGTATATTTATTATTACTGGTGGCATTTAATTCCCTTGGATTCCCATTTCGCGTTCAATCTGTATTCTGCTGCCTCTGAAGAGCTTTTTCACCTCGGCGGTGACCTTTCCTTCCTGTTCCAGGTAAGTGAACCTTGCAGACCGCGAACGGCGGAACGGGAGCCCCTTCGGACTAGGTTTCGGCCCGGTGTGGAGGAAGGGTTTCCCCTGATCACGGAGACGAAGGATGTTAGGTCGCCAGGCCGTGGCTCTCTCAAGGTCCAACTTGGCCACCCCAAGAAAGCCCTACCGGGACCTTCCAACAGGTGGTATTCTAGGACCCTAAGAGGTGGTTTCCCGACACCAGTTGTCACCCGGAAACACCTGTGAAGTCGGGTCCCAGGTCTTGAATCCTCTCATCCTTTGATCCGATGTGCAAGCCCCAAGCGGCATCTCCGCATCATGCCGGAGCTTCCGCAGCGTGGTGAAGAAGTCCCCGGCGCGCTGGCCGGGGCCGCGCGCCTCCCAGAAATGGCCCTCCAAGCACCGCAGGGCTGCGGCCGTGCCTGGAACGGCATGGATCGATTTTTCGGAGGTTTTGGTCCCACCCGAATCGGCCTCTCCAGCAGGCGCAGGCCCATTCAAGTACCACCTGCCATGGTGCCATGGGGTTTGCTTTCTGGGCAGATCTTCCAAGCGTGTTTTTGTTGGGAGGCTTGCTGTTCGCTCGGGGAGTTGGATGAGCATGTCTTCCGAAGGAGCAGTCCACAACACAGGTTCCAACAACAAGGTCTTTGGATCTGTTTCGCTCTTCGTCTACTGCAAGAATCGCCAGGATGCTCAAGAGCCTGGAACAACTCCCTCTTCCAAAAGGGTGGATTTGGAGAAAGAGTGTTTTTGTTGCGGTTTCCTGTAGTTTCCCGGACGAATGGTGATTGTCTTGCAAAGTAAAGCCTGTTTGTGGATATGGCCACATGCACACCTTGCTCATGCTGCTGGGCTTCAAATCTGTTGCAGTTGCAGTTTACACATTGTCTGTTGCGGTATGTTGCAGTACAATGGAGGCGTCGCGCCACAAGGAGAAACACCCAACATACCCAACAACTGTCCGCATCTTTCAACACTGAAGATGACATCCCCCAAGCTGCCAAAGCCATCCATGGTTGCCTTGAGGGGTGGGGTGGCGTTCTTTTCCCTTGACCCCTGACAGGCATACTGAAATCGGAGCTCTTGAAGCAACACTCCGACGATTGGCAGGTGTTCTCTCACGACGACGCATCTGTCCTTCCGCACGAATCCACATCGGACGACCGTGGGGTGCGACGGAGGACATCGCACCCCCAACAAAAGCGCCACACGGCATAATTGGTGCATCCAAGAATCGGTTCTTCTCCAATTTGTCTCTACATTCCGGCTCAATGCTGTCCCACGCCCGTGCTGCTGCTCCTCTTTGAGCTGCACAGCTGCCAGAACACGCCAGTGGAATGAGTCGCAGCAAAGCAAGGAGGCGAAGCAACGCCATGGCGAAGCAACACCAAGGGTGCGACAGAGCTGCCTATTAGATCTGAATGCCTCCATGTTGACCCAGCAAGGGGTTAGTGCCAGGTACCATGGGTACCATGTACAATTGTTTGGTGACACGAGACCGGGGCCATCCCAGGCCATGTATGTGTCGACTGATGAATAAAATCCCATTAGGGCCCGGCCTGGAGACGGTATTGAGGTTTTATATGGGTTTTATTGATTACCCTCCCTGAAGTGGAATACAGCCTGTTCATAGAGGAATTCAGTCTTCCTTTCGGGGCCATGTTCCACTTCCATGTTTGTTGGATGGAGGGTAACAGTTAATACCTTCCAGCAAGCATTCCATGTGGCATCAGGCTGGACCACCCATGACCTCGACTGAGTCCTACATGGATGGTCCTACATGGGCGAGACTGAGCTCAAGGCATGTCTGACACCCTGCATTCACTGTGGGAGGTCTCCGGGAATATCTGGAACACATGATTTCTGGCTGTAGTTAGAGTGCTCACTGAGTGCACGAACCCCCTGTAATTAGTTCAGCATGTGGGGCTGAAATTAAAAAGCTGCTTGGGAACAGGTCAAGTGTCTGATGAAGTTGTTTGTAATTAAGTGATGTATGTTACAATCTCTTGAGACTACTTGACATGACATACACCTTATCAGGAGATCTGAGGAGCAAGTAGCAAGCGTCATTCCAAAGTCAGCGACGTGTGTCACAAGCAGATGGGTCCACTCCATCCTCCGCCCACGAAGTCACCAGGGCTCGTCTTTCTCTTCTTCCGGTGTTTTTCTTCGTCGCTGGCTTATCAGGCCCTTCTAGACCGCCTGGTCACCGAGACCATCGCTTTCCTCCCCCGGTCGTCGGAAACCCCGGTCTTTGTCTGGTGACGTCGGGTTCTCGCTCTCTGTGCTTTTTTGGGGTTCACCGAACCGTCTTCTCTCAAGGGCAGGAGCCAAGGTTCGGAGCCCGGCGGTACGGTACTGCTCTTAACAAGCATCCTGCACCCTTTGTGCAGGAGCATCCAAGAATACGCATCAATTAGTATAGTTCCCCACATATATATATATATATGTGTAGGCATGTTTTGTGTTATATATAGTTTTATCACATAAGCCACAGTCCAATACCAATGTTGTTTCATTTGTGGTTTGCATGGGGAAGTAGGTCAGAGATCTGGGGGAACTACATAATATGTGTCTCTCATGACCAGGTCAGTCCTGTCCCAAAAGAGCTGACGACTGGTCGTGTTAAAAACCGTCTTCCTTACACCCTGTTGGCGTCTGAATTCCAAGTCTTGGATACACACTCACTTTCGTGTCTTTTTGGTGGGTTAAACTCAACCTCCCAAAACCATTCCAGGCCAACCTATGCTCAATTGGTCGATGTGTCTCTTCCCAGGCCAACCAACCTGGGGATTCAATCTGCGCTTCTGCACTTCCTGGAATCAGCAGTGAACAACCACCTGTTTGTGGAGGAAAATGGTCATCCAAGGGGCCACGGTCCACTTCCTTCGAAAAATTCCAGGGAGCGTCACTTCTTTTGGGCACCACTCCGTCGCCCTTCCGTTCCCCAACTCTTTGCACTGTTTTGGGCCTTCAGTTTTCCAGGGGCCGGTGATCACTCCGGGCGGTGGGGGTGGAGCATCCAGCGGCTGCCAGCGTGTGTCGCAGCTCAAGCGGAAGGAGTTTTGGCCATTGGGCAAGGTGGTGTGCAGCAAATCCATGCCGAACACGGCCTCGGCAGGATCTATGCGAGCTCTTTTGATGACCAATTGGTGCCAGAGCAGGTGGAAAGGCCCCGTTCTCAATCTCTGACGTTGTGTCCATGAATTCAACGGTGCCAAGTGTGAGCCAGTTGATTGGTCATCCATTTGCGGTTTTTGGGCCCCTTCAACACATTTGAATCTTTCATGATTCATGATGGGTCTAGGTCTAGGTCTAGGGTTCCTCTCTCGGCGGAAAGTCCAATCCATGCATTTTGTGCACAGTTCCTTCCACAACTGGGATCCATGCTTTTCCAAAAAACACATCCGCACCTGGTGTGTGTGTGTGTGTGTGTCAACCCCTGTTCCTAAGGGTTTTACGGCTAAGTAACCACATGTCCACGTCTTGCAGCTAAGTATTCACAGGCCGGGCATTTACATGCATAGGCACACACACAACCCCCCCTACCCCTGGGCCTCGTTGCTACCCCACCCGCTTTTCGAGCAACAGAAGGAAATCGCACTCAACACACTTGTGTGTTGGTGCCTTTCCTTCTGTTTCTCCTAGCTATTGCTAGCTACCCGGGCGGTTTAAGACAAAATGTCCCGCTCGCGCTCTACTTTCAGTTAACTAAGTGGGCCTCGTAACTACACCTATCTTTCCTTCTTGCCCTCTTAGTCTGCTTTTGTTTTGTTTGCTTTTTCTGTCTTTCTAAGGCTTTTTAGGTCGCTAGTAGTCTTCACAAAAACGCGCCAATATTGGCGCCGCTATATGTACAAAGTTCGGCGACCGGTGGACACCAACGACGCTACTAGGGGCTTCTGGCCTCGCTATCAGGAGCCAGGACCTCTGACCTTTCTACAAGGTGTAAGGACGCTACTAGGGCCCCTGGCTTTGCTACTAAGGCCTCCTGGTATCGCTACTAACTTACAGTCCCTCAACGCAGAAAAAGAGGCAGGGGCACTGAGCACTCCTTGGCAAACTCAGTGCAACGAAGCTATGCCTTGGAGTGGGAAGCACGGATTGATCACCCGTGTGTACCTGCGAGAAGTCTTTCACAAGCTGTGACTCCACTTTTTCCTTGTTTGTTTCCATGGTGGTTTTCATGATACTTCCCCCAAACCTACTCCTC